CTGGAGATGACTCCTCCCCCAGATATCTGATATCTGTCTACAATAGGAGTTGTACATCTCCCTCAGTGGTTGTCTGTTGACAGGCTACAATAACTTTACCCAATGAGCAGGTGCAATGTTGATTACCACCAATAGTGAATTTAGGAGGGCATTTTATGTTTTTTCCGCATTATCAATCAACCTTTATTTAGACAGGTAAATCCCATTGAACCTTGAGGACTCATTTACAAGAGAGACCTGATTTCAACAAAGAAAGATGACAACAATGGACAACAGCAACAACAATAAACAATTATAAAAAGTCATACTGCAGGGTTTTTTTTTTCTTTTTTTCTTTTTTATTATTATTTTTTTTTACAAATAGGATGGCTAAAAGGAAAAGGTAACGAAAAAAAAACCAGCTAGATTCTAAGGCGAATGTAGAAAACTAAAAACAGGAACATGTCTGCATTGGTCCCTGCCAGGAGTCCAAAAGATTCTTAAAGCCACTTAGAGAGGTCAAGGTCGAGAGCTTCAAATCTTTTTGTAAAATATTCCAGGAAACAGGAGCGGAGTAGGAGAAGGCCCTTTTGCCTAGTTCAGTCCTCATTGAGGGAACTTTGCAGGTAATAATGTCCTGAGAGCGCACTCCGTAGCTGCACTCACACAGAGTCATGTAGGAGGAGATGTATGAAGGCAGCAGACCAAGAAGGGATTTAAAGATGAAAATGTACCAGTGAGAGAGTCTGTGTGAAGTTAATGATGTCCAGTTAACCAGTGAATACAGGGTGCAGTGGTGGGTACGATAATCACAGCCAGTTATGAATCTTAGTGCACCATGATAGACAGCATCCAACATCTGCAGGGTTCTTGTAGGAGCGTTCATGTAAATAATGTCACCGTAATCAATGGAGGGAAGGAAAGTCACAGAAACAAGGCGTTTTCTAGCATTCAGGGTTAGACACGATCTGTTTCTGAAAAAGAAACCCAGTTTAACTTTCAGTTTCTTTACCAAGTTTTCCACGTGGAGCTTAAAAGAGAGATGTGAGTCGACCAAGATACCCAAATATTTATAGGAATCAACAAACTCAATGGGGATACCATTTGAGGATAAAATCGGAGGAAGAACTGCTGGGACCAACTTCCTATTTGAGAAAAGCATCCCTTTGGTTTTGTCAGCATTTAGGACAAGTTTGAGGCGGAACAAATCTGTCTGGATGATGTTGAATGCAGATTTCAAAAGCTGGAAAGCCTTAGCAACACTTTTAGCTCGACAATAAACAACTGTCATCCGCATAGAAATGTATGGATGCATTAGGGATGTTTTTACCTACATTATGTATGTAAATTGTAAAGAGGGTGGGTCCTAAGACTGAGCCTTGTGGTACACCATTGTTGACTGTTAAATAACTGGAGGAAGTACCATTATGTTGAACACATTGCCTCCGGTCTGAAAGATAGTTAGAGAACCAACCAATGGTGTGTTCTGAGAAACCAATTTCTGAGAGTTTATGACACAAGATGTTATGATCCACAGTGTCAAAAGCTTTAGACAGGTCTAAGAAAAGTGCAGCACAATAATCTTTAGCATCCAGTGCTTCAACAACATCATTAAGAACCTTCAGTGAGGCAGTGGTTGTGCTGTGTTGTTTCCTGAAACCAGATTGATGTGGAGGTAAGATGTTAAATGAGTCCAGGTAATCTTTGATTTGAGTTTATCAGTTTTTCTAGAACCTTGGCTAAAATACAGAGTTTAGAGATTGGTCAATAGTTGTTCAGTGAGGTGGGGTCTCCTCCCTTCAGCAAAGGAAGAACAAAGGCTGTTTTCCAAGTGTCTGGGATGGAGTTTTGTCTTATGGAGAGATTGAAGATGTGGGTCACAGGGACTGTGATGATATGAGCAGCCAGCCTTAAGAAATAAGGTGGAAGTTCATCTGGACCTGCAGATTTTTTAGGATCAAGATCTATTAACAGTTTATTGACCTCACTAACTGAGAACGTAGAAAAAGAGAAGGTGTGATTAAATGAGGATTGACTTGTAGGAGAGATTTGATTTGTAGAAGTTTGGTTATTAAGTGAAGTGGCTGATTTTCTGTTAGTAACTGTGTCAAATAATGAACTAGAAGCAACAAAATGTTTGTTGAAACAATTCAGGGTCTCGTGCTTATTTGACACAGGAACAGAGTTAACGAGAAGTTGTGATGGGAGGTCAGATGATTGGGGGGTGCCTGAGAGAGATTTGATGGTTTTCCAGAATCTGTTAGGGTCATTTAGATTTTTGGAGGTCTGAGATAAGAAACAGTTGCGTTTTGCAGCTTTGACAGCATTTGTGCATTCATTCCTCATCTGTCGAAAACTCAACCAATCTGTGTCTGAGTCAGATTTTCTCGCTGTGGGCCAAAGATGATCTCTCCTGTGCAGGAGGTCAGTCAGCTCTGGAGTAAACCAGGGGCTGTCTCGTCCCTTTATTCTGAACTGACGAAAAAGAGCATGTTTGTTCACAAAATAAATGAAACTATTATGAAAATAGTTCCAAGCGGAGTTCACGTCATCAGTTAACAGAATATGATGCCAGTCAAAGTGAGACAGATCCCAGAGGAATGACTGTTCACAAAAATGTTTCAGATCCCTTTTTTGAATTAATCTGGGCTTAGAAGGTGGAAGTTTAATATCTCTCAAGTAGCTGTCACACAATGATCACTCAAAATATCAGCGAATACACCTGTACCAGGGAATTTGTAAGGCATATTAGTTAGAAATAGGTCTAAGATGGAGGATTTTTCAGGACAGTTTTTGTTTAATCTAGTGGGAGAGTCAATCAATTGGGTAAGATTGAGAGACAGGCAACATTCCTTGAATTTATCACAGAGGTGGGTCGACTTACACCAATTAATGTTGAGGTCTCCAGCCAAAAGGATCTCTTTGAATTTTAAATTACCAAGAAATTCCATCAGCGCAGACAGAGCCTCAGGTGTTGCTGAAGGTGGGTGGCAACAACAGACTACAGTTAAGATCTGGCCTCCATTCAAGGTGATGTCTACAGATAAGGCTTCAAACTGGTTTGGAATTGTTTTAGAAGACTCAGGACTAGCAACCAAATAATCTCTGATGTAAACAGAACCCCACCCCACCCTTTTTTTGACGATCACAGGGGTAGATGTTAAATCCACTGATTGCCAGGTCATTATTGAGTACAGATTTGTTGAGCCAGGTTTCAGAGATTAGTGATAGGCCTACTCATAACAAAAAAATGACATGGCATCATGCAACCTTCATAACACAAAATTACACTGTGCCATGCAATAGTGACAACAACAAAAAAATGACCGTTTTGTCAACCTGCAAGTAATTATAATGTAGTGAACTAGGCCTGAGGTCAAGTCCTGACCTTAAGGACCTTATGGGACAGAAACTGTCATTTCATTGATTTGAATCCAGAAATACAGGTTGACCCATCCTGAGACTTTCTTTCTTGGAAATTCAAGTGAAAGAACACTCTCTTTTCTATTATCATTACTATTTTACAAATGTTTGATAATCAAAGTGTTTTAGTTCAAACCATTTTAGATGTTGTAGTGAACTAATCATTTTTAGTTAACTGTGAAACAGTAATAATGATTTTAATCCTCATGCAAAGTATAAATCATGTTAAGGTCTGTTACAGAGTAATTATGCATTTTCTGATTTTCTGTCTTTGAATGAGCAGTGTAAGTTGGTCCAAGGTTGGAGTCAAACGCAAACAAGTGTTGGAACGAACTGTCATGTTTTTAAATCCTCTCAGACGTAAATAGAGAAGCGGGCACCTGTTTTCCGCCAACTCGTCTAAATATTCCTCTCGTCTGTCTGAAAAACATTTTCAATCTGTTCCATAACATTCTTGCTGTTTTTCTAACTCCTAGTGACCTCTTACGTCACAAAAACACACCCCTGTCTGGTCGAAATGACCAATCAGGAAACTCCCAAGTGAACCGGAAATAGAGCCCTTTAAATGTCGGTACTTCCTAGTTCAAGTCAGTCGCTTCAGGCTCCGGCTTCAGTCGTTGCAACTCCAGTGCTGGGAAACAGGGAATCCTGACATGATCCAGGGCTCTTCCGAGTATTGGGATTATGACATCTTCCACCTCTGAGTGGAACTCTGACGGACTCCACTCATGTGAAGTCCACTCGTGAGGTGAACTTGTGTCGAACAAGTACCGTCACTACTTCGGACGATTCACAGCTGTTCCTACGGAGACGCTGAAAGGGTGCGTTAAATGGAACTTTATACCAGGGAGACATCTCCAGGTAAAAGAGTTGATTTATACCACCTAAGTGTACTGGGGGAAGAAGCTGGGAACTCACCGGAGAGTGCCGTTCTGTTGCCGACACAAACATTTCCCTCATCCATCTTTTTCCCTCTAAACTTCATCTTTCCATCTTTAAACCCTCCTATCTGCTAGAAATCATTCCAGATATTTTAGAAATGTCTGTGTAAAGTTTTCAACCATCGCCGTATGGTTAATCAAAATTGTACAGCTTGCTAAATTAAGCCATGTTGTTATTTTTCATATTTTGCCAAATTAATGTAAATGTGTGATGTGTTAAACTTTGATTCTGTTAATAAATGACCCACTGTCGTTGGTGAGTCAAAGATAATTAACGTCTCACGTTACATTTTATTAAATTCAATGCACATTATATACAGTCCAGAAAAATGAAAGAATCCGTTTAATTTATGAATATATCTCATGCATATGTTCATCTACAATAAAAACAAAATAGGTTTACACTACAGTTTCCTACCCTTCTAAGCTAGCTGCTTGTAATACAGATGTGCTACCAAAGATGATACAGATGTAGTGGCTGTAGAAGATTACATTTTTCCAGACTCCGTTTAGGTCTTTGAAATGGAATAAACTGTATTACATCCTCTAAACACCTAGGGTAATGCTGATTGAATTGCATGTTCCCCCACTGACAACGTTTAACCATTTTTCTCTGATGAATTTTCATGAAATCCCTCTGACTGCAAAGCATTCGTAATGCAAAACCCGGACAATGTTGTCGGAGGAAAGGTTACAGCTCGTCAGGTAAGGTTTAAGGTGCAGGACTTCAAGTATTTGGGGTCTACTGTGCAGGAAAACGGAGATTGTGGTTAATTTCCTCACTCTGCTGCTGTCTTTACTTTCTCTACTCTACCTCAATTTAATTCAGTTTATTTCTATAGTGCCAAGTTACAATAGAAGTCATCTCAAGGCACTGAACAGAACAATTCATATTTAAAAATAATAATTTAACATTACTCATCTGAGGAGCAGACTACTCTGAATTTAACTCCATCACAGAACTCTCATCTTGAGCAAGCATGAAGGTGACAGAGGAAAGGAAAAACTCCCTCATGAGGAAGAAACCTTTAGCAGAACCAGGCTTAGGACAAGCGGTCATCTGCTTTGACCGGCTGGGTTTGGTAGGAACAGATACACAATGGCAGGTCAAGAATCACATGTTAAGATAGAAATAGTATCAAATGAAAACTAAATAATTTTAGCAATTCATTCAAGGGAATGAGGTCAATTTGTCCTCTAGTAGTGTAAGCCTATAGCAGCATAACAAGCTGACCCTAACTATAGGATTTATCATAAAGGAAAGTCTTAAGTCCAGTCTTAAAACTGGATAATGTGTCAGCCTCACGGACAGAAACTGGAAGTTGGTTCCACAAGAGAGGAGCCTGATAACTGAAAGATCTTCCTCCCATTCTGCTTTTGGAAACTTTAGGAGCCGTGAGTAAACCTGCAGTCTGAGAGTGAAGTGCTCTGTTAAGAAAATATGGAACAATAAAATCTCGAATATAAGATGGAGCTAGGTTGTTGAGAGCTTTGTAGGTTAGAAGTAAGATTTTGAATTCAATTCTGAATTTGACAGGGAGCCAATGGAGAGAAACTAAAACTGGAGAGAGATAATCTCTCCCACTAACTCCAGTTAAGACTCTGGCAGAAGCATTTTGGATCAACTGAAGACGTTTTAAAGAATATTTGGACACCCAGATAACAAACCATTGCAATAGTCCAGTCTAGACGTGACAAATGCATGAACCAGTTTTTCTGCATCATTTTCATATAAGATGTTTCTAATTTTAGTGATATTACGCAGGTGGAAAGAGGAGGTTCTAGTAACGTTTTTAATGTGGGGGATAAAAGACATGTCCTGATCAAAAATAACACCAAGATTTTTAACATTAGAGCTGGAGGCCAAATTAATGCCAAGGAGGGAGAAAGACTGAACATTTTATTCCTAGAATGCTTAGAAATACCTGTTTGTATTTGTAATTATTTCTATCTTATGTGTTTTTTGTCTTGCTTCCTATAGAAAGTACACCTGGATCTGACATTTTGTGTTTGTCTGTTCCTCCTTCCTGTCCTTTCCAACCTAGCCAGACGAAGCAGATGGCCACTCGTCCTGGGCCTGGTTCTGCTGGAGGTTTCTTCCACTTAAAAGGGAGTTTTTCCAAGACTGCAACAATGTTCAGATTCAACACAATCTGCTGGCTTCCTTAGATAGATACTAATTGGCGTTTATAATGTATGTGAATGATTCTGTACTGTGCCCTGAGACTACTGTGTGTTTTAGTGCTATATAAATAAAATGAATTGAACTGAACTGAATCAAAATCAAGATCTCTTTCTCAGAAAAGTTCAACCTACTTTTACAAGAAAAACCAAACCAGCAATTCCACTCCATTATTACCAGCCTGCACCAACCCGCTGGGTGGGGAGAGACAACAAAAAAAAAAATGGAAATGTGAGGTTCCTTAACAATACCAATGAGGAGAAATGGCCTCCAGTGTGGCCATTCCTCCTGACACACCTTGATCACTCCCATTACTGATTCAAACGTCAGCAGCTCCCAACCTGAGAGAGAAGGGTGGACACAAACAAATTCCCCCCTACAGCATTAATCTTTATCCCAGTACATGCCATCCATTGACTTACAGGTTCAACAGCAGCATAAAGGTATAAAAGCACTGTGTTCACTTTTTAAAGGCATCCTTCTTTCAGCAAGTGCTACTGCTACTGCTGCTACTGCTACTGCTGCTACTGCTGCTACTGCTGCTGCTGCTACTGCT